TCTTAGTAAACTAGTAGTAACTTAACGCTCTCTCTACTATAATAGAACTTTATAGAGAAAGTATATTAGCGTTCTTATATAACGCGTCTTTTAATAATAGACTTATACTACGTCTAGTTATATAATAGTAACTTAGAGTCTAGGTAACTTACTAGACTATAATTAAGATAAGAGTAGTATAAGCTATAACGTTCTAGACAACACTATTATAAAAGCAATACGCTTATAAGTATACTAACACTAATAGATAATTTTAAGTCTCTTACTAATACTTTTACGTTCTTCTAAAGCTACTCTAAGCGCTATAATTAAACTACGCTATAGATATAATAGTTATAAAGAATAATAGAGTAATAGTAAAAGATATAGAAAATGCTTTAGCTTTTATAGCTTTTGCGAAAGAGGCATCTTTTTTATATATTTAATTAGAAGTAATTAGACGTAATATTACTTTTATAATATACTAGAAAAGTTATTTAGTAAAAAGACCTTAGGCGTTAGAACTTACCTAAAAAGAAGAGAGAGGTAGTATTATAGATTAAACCTATAATCTCTACCTAATTAGGCCTAGCTCTATATTAGGTAAGAAACTTTAAAACTCTACCTATATAGCTCTTTCTTTCTATAATATAGTATCTTACTAGTAATATAATTTTAACTTAATACACCTATTATATATATATAGGTTTTTTATTTAATAATAAAGTTTAGAAATATTATTAAAACTTAGAATATATAACTCTTAAGAATATATAAAAGTTACTTAAAATAGAAGTTAAGCTTACTATTATCTATATATAGATTAAAGTAAGAATAGAATAATACTATTCTATCTACGCTACTATAAAGAATGTTATTAAGATACTCTAAGACCTAGTAAGCTATACTATAAGTAAACCTAGAGATCTTCTTTATATTAATATCTAGAGTCTATATAGATTAACTAGTTATAATAGTACTTAAAGTATACTAAATATTATAGATAATATAACTTAATACTAGTAGATAAAAAATCTAAAGACTATAAAAACTAATAATATTATTATATAATATATTAAAAAGCTAAAAATTACTAATAAAATTATTATTTAAAGAATATACTATAATAATAAAATTATTATAAATAAATTTACTACCTTCTATAAAGAAGAGAGTATTTATTTTAAAACTATTACTTTATATTAATATTATATAGAAGAAGTAATTAAACGCGTAAATTAAACTATATAAGACTAAACTATTATTATTCTTAGAGATAAATAGCTAGGCGCTAATAAATCTATTATATAAACTATTCTTAGAATACTTAATATAAAAATATAAGAATTATTAGAAAATATAACTCTACTAGAAAAACTATAGTCTAAAGTATATTACTATACTATATATTCTAAGAATTATATACTAACTAGAGCTTTAAAATTAGATAAAACACTATATAAAGTACTCTATAGTAGAAAACTAAATATATCTATTCTATAACTATAGAAAGTAAGAGCTTTTATTTTAATTCTATAGTTATAATATATAAGCACTATAATATATTAAATAAAGAAGCTTAACGTCTAAGTATAGATAGGTTACTTTATTAGTATTTAAGAAGTATTAAAAATAAAGATATAGAATTCTAATTCTAGAAAGATTTATCTTACTAATATTATAAATATTAAAAGTAGAGAAGTATCTTAAGATCTATAAGATATAATATATAGAAGATCTACACTAGTACGTTCTTATAATACTAACGCTAATAATAATATAAAATAGTTAGATAGTAAAAGTAAGAATAAAGAGCCTAAACTACTATTCTAGAAATAAAATAAACTATCTATAGTACTTATACTATAAAAAGACACTAAGTATTAAGCTTATACTAAATAATATAAAGTCTATAATAGAGTTTTTTCTTTTAATAAAAAATATACTTTTTATAAGAAGAAGAAATATAGATACGTTTTTTAAAGTATACTAAAAATTCTAAAACTAAGTAGAGAACTTCTAAGAAGTAAATGCTATAAACTTTATTACTAAAATAACTATATATATTATAGTATACTTTCTTTTATTAAATCTTATCTAATATATAAAAAATAAAACATTTCTTATATAGATAAACTAGTAGCTCTATTCTATAAACTAGAAGTTATAAAAGAAAAAAAATACTTAAAATATATAGCTATAGAGCTTACGTATAATAGAGAATCTTTTTATTTAATATATATAAAGAGAAATAAAAAGTGTATATCTAAGTATATTAAAAAAGTACTAAAATAGAAATAATACACGCTTTATAGCTATTATATACTTATCTATAACTTAGACTAACTTTATATATATTATATATAAAAAGGCTATAAATAGTATATCTATCTAAATAATAATAACATCTCTACTATAAAGTACTATTATCTAGACTTAATAGATATAATAATATAGTAATATAAAGATAGTAATAGTAGATCTACTTATAACTTATATAAAATATAGAATAAAAGTTATTTTTATAATCTATAAAACTATAATAAAGAACTACCTTATAATTACTATAATAAACCTATAGTATATAGTATAATAGGTAGTTAATCTTATACTTAACGTAGTTATTATTTCTATAATCTTAAGAAAAGAGTTAGATAAGTACTACTTAATAATTACTATAAGAATATATAACGTATTTCTAATAATTATATTATTAGTATAGAGATAAAATTACTAAAAATAGAGTTAAAATATAATAAAACACTTACGCGTAAGAAGAAGTAACTTAATATTAGTAATAAAGAAAAGAAGCTTTTAGAGTTTTTTAACACTAATAATAATAAAGAAAATCTAGAGTCTTTTATTAATAATAATAAAAAGAAAAATATAAGGTCTTTTATTAATAATAGTAGTAAAGAAAAGAAGGTTTTAGAATTCTTTAATAGTAAAGATAAAAAGAAGGTTTTAGAGTTTAAATTATCTAATAATAAAGAAGAAAATAATTTAGATTATAAACTAAGTAATAAAAAAATAAAGAATGTAAACTCTAATAATAGTAATAGTAGTAATAATAATAATAGTAGTAATAATAGTAATAATAGAGAAGAAAATACTAAGAATTATAGTAAAGATTAAGATAGCTAATTATATTACTTAAAGGCCTTAAATAATTAGAATAACTCTTAAGAATACTAAATAATAATACTAATAATCTATAACAACGTAGAAGTTTTAGAAAATCTATCTAAAGTTATAAGCTTTAAAGTTACTATATAATTCTCTAAATAGCTTTTATAGAAAAAGACTATAGATAAAGAATATAACTTACTCTAGAAGTATAAAGTATAAATCTATATTAAATGTTAATAAAACTAAAAGCTACTTATAGAAAAATAAGTACTAAAATATAAACTTAACTCTAATAGTATAATTAATATATATAAAGCTTAATACGTAGTATAATTTTTTTAATAACGTTATAGTTTAGACTATAATAAAATATTTACTACTATTCTAAAGATATTATCTTATTATCTACTATTTATATTAGCTACTTAATATAGATAGTATGTTTATTAAATAGATATTAAAATAGCTTTTCTATATAGAAATGTTAAAAAAGATATCTATATAGAATAACTTAAATACTTTATTAAAGAAAATACTATCTTAAAACTATAAAAAGTACTATATAGTCTAAAGTAAGCTTCTTAATAATAGTATTAAAAGCTTATAGACTATTTAGTCTTTATAGAATAGAAAGTATCTATATATAATTTTTTATTATACTTTTATACTAATAAGAAGTTAATTATAGAAATCTATATAGATAATATTCTACTTATAGAAGATTCTTTAGATAATATTAGTGTCTAGAAGAGAACTTTATTAGACTACTTTACTCTAATAAATATAAGTTTATACTAGTATTATCTTAGTATTAAAGTATATTAAATAGATAATAGAATTTATTTTTACTAATAAGAATATATTAAATAACTACTAGAAAGATACTAACTAGAAAATATTAGTACTACTTTAATACTATACTTTACTAATCTATTAGAAATTAAAAAGAATACTAATTAGGTATTAAAGAATTTTATTAAGAGATACTAGTCTATAGTAAAAGTACTACTATACTTATTAATTATTATATAACTTAATATAGCCTTTATAGTAGAAGTAGTATTACACTATTACTTAAATCTATTATAGAATTATATAAACGTAGTAATTTAGATCTTCTAATATCTAAAGAGTATAATAATAATAAAATTATTCTATAATACTTATAATAAAACCTAGATAATTAGATATACTAATAGTAACTAGATAATATATAAAGATATATAACGCTCTACTATAGGCTAGATTATTATATTTAGTATATCTCTAATTATATATATCTTAAGAAGATAAAAGATTATAGCTTAGTTAACTTAGAAAGTAGAGTATATTATAGTAGTAGATCTATTAAATAAAGTTATATAGATATAGAATATTATATAAGAAATTCTAATAAGTCTAGATATTTAAAAGAATATTAGACAAAAGAAAACTAAGATACTTATTAATAATAATAGTACTTATATTCTTACTAATAACTCTAAATATTATTAAAGAGTAAAGTATATTAAAATATAATACTATATACTTAGAGATTATATATAGAAAGAAAAATAACTACTAGAAAGAGTAAGTAGTAAAGAGAATATAATAGATATGTTTACAAAAGTATTTATAAAAAAAAGATTCTTATTACTTTAAGATATATTAGGTATAAAGTTAATAAAGTAATAGTCTCTAGTTAGTAGAAGTGTTAGATAAAACTAGAAGCTTCTAGTTAAAAGGTAAGTTTATATTATAGTAAATATAAATACTACTTTTTAAGTATATAAGAAAGGTAGAGCTTTACTTTACTCTATTATCTTATTTTATATTAATTTATTAAGTTTAACAACTATATTACCTCCGTTTTGGAAGACAACGTCGGTCTCGACAGAAACCTCGCCCTCCTCATGGGAGGCGTTATCAACCTAATGTTCCCCATCGGCTCTCTCTTCCCGACCTTCACACTGGACCGCACCGGCCGGCGGAAACCCATGATGTGGGGCTCTCTTGGGCTCGGCTTATCCATGATGATGATAGCCATCCTCTTGAGCTTCCGGTCCGAAGGAGGCGATGTGTCGCAAGCCACTGCGTCCGCCAGTGTCGCTTTCTTCTTCACTGTGAGCACAAATGCGTCGCATTAGGGATGAGAAGCTAACAAATCCTAGTACATGCTGGCGTTCGGTATGACAATGAACTGCATTCCTTGGGTCTATGTACCCGAGATCCTACCGCTACATGTACGAGCGAAAGGCACAGCTGTCGGTATCTCTGCGAACTGGATCTGGAACTTCTTCGTCGTTATGGTCACGCCTACGCTTCTCGACAGCTTGGCGTGGAAGGGCTACCTTATCTTCATGGCACTGAACTTTGCGTTCATACCGCTAATCGTATGTATTTGAAACGAGACCAGAGCCTCCATTCGCTAACGTGCTTGCAGTATTTCTGCTATCCTGAGACAGCCAATTTGACGCTGGAAGAAGTCGATTGGCTGTTCTACGAAGGTGATGTCGTGAAGCGAAGCCGACGTGTGGCGAAGGAGGGATGGGAACAAGCGGTTGGCACCGATCCTGCGACTATGGTTGAGACGGGTAGTGTGTCCAGCGGTAATAAGGCCGGACATACGACGGAGAAGGCAGAGCACACGGTACACTAATCCTCACTAGCATTCCAGCTGGGACGATGTGACTGCGCTCCTACACCATCGAGTACTTGGTATCAGTCATCATACTCACCTTTGATCAATGCGATGGATTGATGTCTATATCAAGCATCCGCATGCATTGCGGTCAAGAGACAAAAGACAAGCGAATGAGAAAGTGAACGTAGAACCAAGGAAAGGTGATATAGTCTATATGATGTGCGAACCTACATATCGTACAAGGTGGTGATGTATACTACAATGACTTCTCGGCAACCTTGGCGGCCTCGAGTCGTGACCTCATGTGAGGAGCAGTGTGGGATCCCGCGCTCTGCGGCTTCATGATCTGGCGAAGGATAGCGCGACGTGGCATGGTAATTCTGCTGCAGAGAACGACCGCTCCAGTCAACAAAGCAAGAGCTCCAGCTTGATGTGCGGAAGCCAACCACGTAGGGACCATGTAGATCAGCGTGCTGATGCCGAGGGTGACCTGGAGAGTGACGAGATGGACCATGCCTTGGACGCCCTTGTGGGCATCCTTGGTAAGCTTAGTCCGCACACCCTTGCCGAAGCGAGTGTATGCGAAGAGACTCATGATGGCAGTGAAGGTAGTTGTTGCGAGCATGCGGTGGTCAAGCTGAACGAGAGACGGGTTCTCGAGCATGTTGCGCCACCACAGGTCTGATTGGTCTGGGACGTGGCTGTAGAAGGGGTCGAATAGTTCTTTCCTGGGTGGGGTGAGACCCATACCCATCCACGGGAACTCGTTATAGATAAGACCGGCATCGAGACCAGCGACAAGGGCACCTGACATGGCAGTAGTGAAGACGAGAAGAGTAAGACCGAAGACAGAGCGTCTGAAGATGCGGAGTGCAGGGTGCTGCAGAGTCTTGATAGTCTCTGCTGCCTTGACTGGGTCGGCCAGCATGCGGTTCTCCTTGAGGATAGAAAGACCAGTGTATACCATTGAGCAGTAGACGGTGAATGCAGCGCCGAGATGGGCAGTCAAGCGGTACTGGCTGACACGGGGGTGGCTACCAGGTTCAAAGAGGTCGTCCTTGAGCCCACTCTTGACCATCCACCAGCCGATAACACCCTGGAAGCCGATCATGCCGCAGATGCCGATGAGCTTCCAGGCCATTGAAGGTGCTACCCTGCGACGTGCGATGAAGTATGCGGTTGGTACGAGCATCGTGATGCCAATGACGCGACCCCAGAGCCGATGCGCCCATTCCATAAAGTAGATTTGCTTGAAGTCGGCCATGTCCATACTCGAGTTGAGTTGGGCGAATTCAGGTGATGCCTTGTATTTGGTGAACTCGCTGTCCCATTCGGCCTGGCTCATGGGCCAGAGGGAGCCGGTGACAGGGCGCCATTCGGTGATGCTCAGCCTGTTGAACTTAGCAGGTGCGGTGGAGGAGGTGACGTCGGTGCCTACCCAGACTCTGTGAGACGAGTCAGACCTCCAAACACAACTATACCGAAAACGCTCGCAGCACTGCCCAGCAGCCAGTATGCGACGCTCTTGGAGGTTGTCTTGGGGAAGCTGCTCGACTGGCTCTCAGTCTTGGTCGCAGCTTCTGCGAGTATCGCCCGTCCCGCATTCGATCCCTCGATGGTCGCGGTACTGCGGAGAGGCTGGGTGGATTTCCACCTCACCGATTGCAGGACGGAGGGTCGGGATGAAGATCGTGAAGCGGAGACGGCGGCTCGAATCGGCGAATTGAGGCATGGCCTGCATACGAAGAGGCGTCGTGAGAGGCGTGGAGCAGCAGTCCGCAGCTGCGGAAATGCCTGGAATATTGAAGCCATTACAGCGACATCTGGGGAGGAAGGAGGAAGTTTCAAGAGCAGCAAATGTACATGTCATCGTCGGTGGTTCGACGGCGCGGCGGCGCGCCAAGAATGAACCCTGCATATCCACGCCCGTTGACAGGCGGAAGCGACGACCCACTCCGCAGGTTCGCAACTGCATCACCGGACCCCTCCTAGTGAAGATCGCCATTTGGCGTCTGCCGTGCTGGCAGCGTGATGCGCCCAGCCTCCACCGTATTTTGCGACCGCTATCTTCCCTTCTCCTATATGACTTTCACCGTCTCTCCATTGCGTACGTGACCATCCCGTGTTATTAGACCCGGCGTGCACTGCGTTACCCCACCCACTCCGGTCGCATACCCAGCCGTCGTCGACCACCACGCCCCATGTACTTCCAAAGCAGCTTATAGCATAGCATGGATCCCGCCCATCAACCACCCACAGGTCACGGGAGCAACAACCTCGATCATGAGAACGAGCCGCAGATTGGTGGATTAGAGCGCAACGAAATATGGCCGTTGGGCGAGGGAGAGCGTACAGAGGGCGGCGCAGGCTCGAGTAGTACCCCATACGTCAGCCTCTTCTCGCCCAACGTACCCGCCATACCACCATCTGCGCCGTCCGACGTCCCCGACAGTCCCAGGGCACACGTGAGCCACTCGAGGTCTCTCAGCTACTCGCGCTCGATGCCGTCACTGGCCAACTACTCCAGCATGACATCGCGTGCGTCCAGAGCTCACGGTCAAGAGGAACGACCGCCCATAGTTCAGCTGCAAACCCGGATAGACCAAGCCCAAAAGAGCGCCGATGATCCAAACACCCCGTTGGAAGAACAAGGCAAAAGGCGCACGACGTTGGACCTGATGCGTACAGAGCACTCTGTTCGCACCGACATTAGTAGGTTGTTCAGCGAGAGCGCAGCCATGCCTGGAACTAGGGCACCTTCCTACAACAACGCGACGGGACCATTGTATTTGCGAGGTGAGTCTTACTATGAGATTCTCGTGTGTACAGGCTAACATTGTCAGTTTCAGGCGAAGCCATACCTCTGCCTGACCACCTTTACACCCGCGGGCTGCTCGAAGGCCGACACTCGGACATTACTATCATCGCCTTTGGCCAGCGATATCCTCTGCACCGTCTCATCCTCGACCGCGCACCCTTCTTCACGACCGCCCTCTCTGAGCCTTGGCTCGAAAGCCGGTCCAAGGAAGTCAAACTACACCCGGAAGAGATCGATTCCAGCATTACGCAAGCATCATTCGAGTTGGCTATACGTAAACTTTATGGCGTCGACATCTCGAAAGAATTGGACGCTGAAGCCATTGGTCTCTTCGCGACTGGCTGCTGGCTAGAGATGCAGGACCTCATCGACTCTGCGATCGAATCCATACTGCGCCAGATGGCACCGGAGACGCTTGCCTACCTCATCCGCTTAGTCACCTCCAACTACTATGGCCGATCTGGAGACCGCATACTTGAGTCGGCCAAGGCGATGCTAAGTAGGAACGGTTGGGAAATGCCTCTTAAATACTGGGACGATATGCCCGGCGACATAGTCCGTGAGCTTGTAGGGTCTGACGGGTTCTTTGTGGATAGCGAGTGGGACCGCTGGGTACTTTCCAAGCGTCTTCTCGACCGCCGGCTACGTCAAGCAGCCATCGAGGCTGGCCTTATCCAGCGGGGACAGAGGCCCATCCCACAAGCACCCAACTCTCTTCGTCTCATGGCAGTTCGCTTCGACGGTGTTTATCGACAGAACGCCTTGACAACGGCGCATTCCTCGTCCGACGCGCAGGCTGACTGGCTTGCTCTCTACACGCTGCCCGACATTGAGCGCATACTCGTGTTGCTAGACGAAGGTATCCACTACATTCACATGGAATACGAGCAGCTTGAATTTATCAGGAACGCTCGCGACGTGTTTGGCCTACCAGTGATGCCCGAAAGGGTCATCTCCAATGCGCTATGGCAGCAACTGGCCCTTCGCCAGAGGGTGCTCAACACCGATGAGTCTGCTCAGGAGCTGGGTCTATGTCAATCAACTCCAGACCCCGAAGAAGCGAACGTGGCGACGAAGACTGGGAGCGAGCTCACTAACAAAGGAAAGCAAAAAGAGATGGCAGATCCTATCGACGAAGGCGACATCGAGTCGGATAGTTGGGACGGCAATGGCAAGCCACGGAAGTTTTGGATCCCAAGCTCGGACTGCAACATTGTCTTGGGCAACGGCGCAGATCCTGTTGTTACGACATCCAACTCTTTTCAGCGCCATGCTTCACGCCTATCAGCCACGATACAGCCAGAGGATGCGCAATGGGCCACCGACTTTGCCTCTACTCCGTCGACATTGACGAACCCAAATACTCGCATGGACTTTGCCCAACGCCCAATCTCTGCTGGTGGCGGCAACGCTGGTCAGCCAAAACCAATCGCTTATACCGAGTTTCCTCCATTCCGCTTCTCGGCTGAGTTTCCTAATCCACGATTCCTCAAAGAGAAGAAGCGCGTCTATTCGAGGACGGTATCGTACGCAGGCTCTTTGTGGAACATCTACATCCAGAAAGTTCGCTCTGCCAAAAATATCCAGTTGGGCGTTTACCTCCACCGTGCCAAGGAGCGAGAGGTAGATGAGACTGGACATGTCAGTGGTCTCAGCCAACAGAACAACGGCTCGGTTGATGAACGTATCGGCCAGCTAGAGCGCGAGATGCTCATGCGTAGTGACCGACGCGACCGGCGACGCAGCACCCGAGTTCCGTTCATGGATCCTGCTGCAGAAGAGGATACCTCTGGCAGTGGTGGAGATCCCGACCCTGCTCTCGGCTCTCTAGGACTGCGCAACCCACTCTTTTCTAGTGGTAGTCTTGGCCGCCATCGCAGTCGTCTACCCACTCGCGGTATTCCACAATGGGGCTTCCAAAACCTGGCCTCTTCACCACCTCAAGATGGTGATACCATAGACTCTCCCTCTTTCGCTAACGCTCCCTACTCCCCATCCGAACATGACTCAGATCCATCCGATGACGACGACGAGTCAGACGCCGCCGCCTACATCAACCCCTCTCTCGCCTCTAGAGTCCAACGCAAAACGCGAGCCGTCATACCCGCACTCCCTCCCTATGTCGACGGCCGACCCACAATCAAAACCTATTTCAAGATCTACAGCCCCTCCAAGGGTGGAAGGATGCTCAGCATCTACGAAAGCGCGCCTGACCGCTTTAACTTCAGTCAGAGCTGGGGATGGAAGAGCAGCACTTTGATGCTGGATGAAATCACGATCAATAATGGCGGAGATGATACCCTGGCTGGTGCCAACCCAGCTGCAAGCAAGAAGACGGATGGCAAATTGAGATTCATGGTTGTTATCGGCAATTTGTGAATGGCGTATATGGGTGGAATGGTACCTATGAGATGGACTGGGATGGGTTTTGGGGGGTATGCATCAGCGATGGGTGTTCTGTTACAGGCAATAAGGATAAGGCGTCTCGGGTTTATGGTGGGGGATGGTTTAGATACCAATTTCTACCTATGCACATTTGTAGTTTTCGCATCAACTCGCGCACAAGACTGGGGTAGAGGCCCCTGTGATGGCATGCGCTAGCGGCGGTTCTAGGCTCAGAAGGATCCCGAGGTCGCGGCTGTGACGCGTCGACGCGACTGCTCGGTTTGTCGAGACAATATACCATCACGTCAGACACGACACATCTGCTGGTACTCCCCTCCGCAAATCCCGATACATCTACCGAAAGATCGTACCCAGTACTTTCGATTTTCCAGCGCTGGCGTACAACGGCGCGTGCGGCATGCACTGGGTAGACACTTATTGCGAACAATCACAGCAGTCCGGGCTAATTACTCACGAAACTCAGGCCTTGAGAGGTCAATTGAGCCATATTTCATTGGTTCCAGCTTGTGCACTAGAGCTATCTGTTATCAAGTACATGATACCGGCAATCGAGCTGTTGTGCAGAAGCAGCAAGCACTTTTGCTGGTCTCCCCCCACCAACTTCCAGCTTTATCCTCACTCAAGCTTACAACACAGAAGGCTGTCTTCCGCTGAAAATCCGAGTACCCGGCAAATGAACACGGAAAATGAACTCCAATGCGTCGTCAATGCGAGCAAGGGTTTCCTGCACACGATCATTGAACTCAGGAGACCTGTTGACATCCCATCGCTCCTCCTCCAATCCCGCGCCTAGATTGTGAAGGCAAACTGGTCCCAGGTTCTGAAGCTGCTTGCGGGGAATCGGGTGTACGGCGTGCACAACTCGCTCGGTGATCTCGCTCTTCTCGGGGAACTGGGCCTTTGCGCGAGGATCGACTATGATGGTCGTCTTGGTGTAGAAGGGAGACTCAACGACGAGTTCACGGGTGGTATAGCCGCTCCACAAAGTGACGACTTCTTCGAAGTCTTTGGGGGTGAATTGCCGCAGTTGCATCGGGCGAGTGGGCGCGATCATGCCAGGCGCGGTGCCCGAAGCAACTCCACTAGATGCACTACGCGCGGAAGGGCGAGTCGGAAGTTCGACCAACGGACGTGCGGTCGAGGGCTGCGCGAGGGTCTCAGGGCCGGGAGTCGGCATGGGTGTGATGCTTGGGTTGCTCATATTGTAAGATGTTGCAGTAATGGTGTCTGGATTAGTGATTGCTCTAAATGCTTTGATGCGCTTCGCAATATGGCAATAATTGTGGGTGTAAAAAGGTATTGAGAATGCTGGTTATGCTGAGCGGAAAGTTGACTTCCTATTGACTTTATAGGCATGATGCTACCACTTGCCGTTGGCAACAACACACCATGTATTCCAAGTGTTCGCGAATCGCTGCTGGCTTTGCTGGCTTTGCACATTTCTTTCCTGGTCTGGATCAAGTCAACGAACGCTAGTTCGACGGACTCTTGATGTTCGCTGGCTTTTGACAACAAGAGCTTGGCGCTATTTACTTCACAAAACCAAACCTAATCAATTCTTGCAAGGTTCCTTGCTGATGCTACTCGCCATACTAGTGCTCTACGAAGGGAGTAGGGTCAGTCGATCTGCACAAGTTTCCAAAACAGGACTTCACTTCCTGGCATTACGTAAGTCGAGAGCATGGCCTTTCAAGTTCGTCATTGCATATAGTTCGTCTAACGAACGGCATCAAGAGAAGTGGAAAACGCATCATGGGGCGGTTGAGACCCACAGTGAATTGTGCAAGGGAATCGTCGACTAGGAACATACGGTACATGACAACGCTGATCCAAAACCGACTTATTCAGGACACTTAAACCTGCCCAATGTAACCCATACAATCACATGAATTCATCCTCGTCCTCATGCATGATTTGTCCGATGGCCTCCACCGTCTCACACATTCGTCTAGCGAGCTCACCATCAGGCTGAATCCTCTTCTCAGTCCAGTAGCCGAACAGGAACTCCAACTGATCTTGCGCGAGGCTTCGTAGATATCGCGTCGGTATCGGATGAACGGCGTGAAGGGTCACATGCTGTTCAGGCTGTGCTTGATTAGCATGTATATCGCGACTCTCAAAGCCAGCTGCACAGGGTCTTACCATAGCAGGTTCACAGCTTGGTGAAGGGTCTTGAAATAGAGGAGGTGCGAACATGGTGCCTGAGGATATGGGTAGTCGGATGCAGACGTAGTATCGCGAAGCGCGCATTTGAGCTAGTGTCTGGTATTGACCCCAGGAAGCAATTACCACCCTCTCGTGATCAAAATCTTGCAGTGGCTCTGCTTCGTACGCATTCTGTAGAGCCCCGCGATTTGCGCCCAGTGCCGCGGAAGGTAACACAGGGCTCTCGGGGTCTGCCCGAATACTTTCTGTTGGCGGGCTGTTCATGTCGATATGGTACATCCTGATGTATGAAAATTAGGCGAGAGTAAGGGAAAAGGGGATAGAAATGCTGTGCAGCAAGGGGAAGTTATATTTCCTGAAGCATAGATCGTCTATCTTGATTCTGAGCTTGGAATGATGAAGAGTTCTTCCATTTCGCTGGCCACAAACCATAGTGCTGTCAACGCGAACACTATCAACATCTTTACGCCAGTTACCGCTTGATAGATATAGCCTGGCTTTGTTGGCTGTCATGGTCCTTCGCGTGAGAACGATCATATTTGCCGTGGTATTGGCGACAACAACCAGCTTCGTCTAAATTTTCAAGCAAACCATCCGTCAATACTGATGATGCGCATTCGTGTTCACAAAGTAATGTTACAGATGAAATGCTTCATTTACAAACGGAACATGACTATGGCTATCTCAGGCAAGAAAAGACCTTGTAGAACCCTACCCAGAGTTTTACTTCCTACCGGCAGCACCACTAATACCATCTACAATCGTGTTGGTTAGTCTTTCTCTCATTCATTCGGGAAGGTTCACTTACTCTTCCTCCTCCAAGCCTGCTGCTCATGAGGAAATATAGCACCAGCCTCATCGTAAGCCCTCTTGTTCATGTCATCCAGGAGAATGGCCGCCGCCCACTTGATCTCGACCATACGTTTCTCAGCATGTTGTCTCTTGGATTCTGACATCGCACTATCGAGAGTCTTCTGATGAATCTTGTTCAGCACTCGTTGGGTAGTTTCGATGTCTTTGACTGGTGTGCGCCCTCTGTCGGGCAGCCCGATAAGTTCGTACGGATCTTTTCGCTTCTCTTCGTCGCTGTCGGAGTCGTCATCGTCGTCGTCAGAAACGAGTTGATTTTGTGGAATCGGAGAAGACCTTCGTGGTCTTTCGCGTTCCGGTAGCATGCGCTGCTGGTTGTATGATTGACTATTCAAGTCATTTTTTCGGTTTCTGGAGGCATCGAGCTGTCGCTGTCTCTCCTGATCCTGCCGCTCCTGATCCCGCCTATCCTGATCCCGCCTCTCCTGATCTCGCCTCTCCTGATCTCGCCTCTCCTGATCCCGCCTCTCCTGATCTCGCCTCTCCTCCTCTCGTCTCTTCTGCTCCCTTTTCGCGGCTAATTCCTGACGTGTTTGCTCAAACCTTCGTGCAGCATCAACCTTTTCCTGCTCTGTCCTCTCCGTCATCTCACGCGTCTTACGGTCCAGCTCGTCTTGTCTGCTCTTCGCTTCGTCAATGCGCAGTATTGTGTCTTCTTTCAAATTGTTCTCAATTTTGTTCCTTTCGAATCTTTCCTCGGCCTCCTTGAGCTTACGAGCCTTCTCTTCCGCTGCCTCGATCGTCTTCTTCGCTTCAGCTTCCAACCTGGCTCGCTCCTTCACTGCTAGTTCATCCTCGTATCTGTTCTTCATCTTCTCGTTGCGGTTGTTGTCTTTGTTGAGTCGATCGAGATAGAGCTCGTTTTTGTCTTGTTCGGAGGACCCTTGGATTTGAGCGGGCGCTGGGGCTCCATGCGAGTGCACTACAACATTCTGGGTGGGAGCCTGGCCAATCATCGCTGGTGGTGGTATCTGCTGATTGATGAAGAAGTTTGGTTGAGGCAAGTTGAAAGAGTAATTCTGCTGCATCTGCTGGAGGAAGGACTGCTGGTGTTGTCCAAGCTGGAGGAAAGCCCATCCGCCATGACTTGTGAACACCAACTCCACAATGTTCTGAGCGGTTTCCATCAGATCGTTAGCCAAGAACGAGATGCCGAGGATGCTTCCGCTTCGTGCGATTTCTATCTCTTCCAGTATGATATGAAAAGCCATGATCAGTTCATCGTCAGGGTAAGTTGCCAACCTAAAAATTGACATCGGGTGCGGACGATCCAGCACTTTACGGCGAAATCGGCCTGTAATGTGGAAAGTGATCATGTCGCAAGATAAAAAAGGTAAATTGGGATATCAAAATGATGCGAGGAGGAAGATGATAGATAGCAATACAGGAAGTACGAGTGTGAGGGCATGCGCACAGAAAAGGACGGTTTTGTACTGCGGGCATGCTTTTGGTGTGATGCCTAATCATGGAATCCCCAGGGCGGCTTCCAATACCCACGTTGTGTCGATGATTATGCATGTCAAGCGTCGGCCTGTGAAGCTACGATCATCCTCATACGTGTTTGCCGCAAACATCGCGGGCATTCCAGGTTGTGACGCGCCAGGCTCGGTGAGCTGCGCTCAATCTTCAAACTAGATATGGTGAAGCAACACCAGGTCGAAACGTTCACAGATGCTGATGTAGAGAGCAGGATAGGATCATTGTGGCTGTAGGAACTTGCAGTTTCTCCACCTAGGCACAACCGCCTAGAGGAGAACGCGGGAGGAATAAAAGCCGATGATGTCATTATTACTAAGCATCCCAGCCTTGGAAGGCCCGCTCACACTTCACCACGATCGTCCATCATCATAGCTATCAGCACCTTTGGGCACCACTTCAATGCCATATGTATTTAATATATGGGCCCTGTATCGTTCGAAGTTCTCGCGATGCCAACCCATGTAAGTGCTGATCGCTCGACAGCGCCATGGCGTGTTGTGTCACAGCCGCCTGAGCCTGCACAGCTGCCTGACAGTTTAAACGGCAAATGCGATCCCGCTATAACTAAGATCAATTTCGTGTGAATTTATCAAGCTACAGTTTCTCAACATCTCCATATGCGCAACAAGTTCAGACTTCGTCATGCTCATCCTAGTCAACTCCTAAGCCAGGCGCTTTCCTCGTCTAATCAACAAAACCTGACGCCTCCTACTTGGCTCCATGCTCCGCCTTCCAAGCCGCATATTCTCTATCGTCCTTCTCTTTCTCCGTCTCGGGTCGGCTTCCGATGACATTGCCATATGGGCCATATAATGCAACATGATGAACTGTCACCGCGGCCGGAGGTGGCAGAGGAGCTGGGGCTGGAGCTGATGCAAAGGTGATGTTTTGCTGTGGAACAAAACCGGGCTGGAAGGTGACGTTTTGCTGTGGAACTGGAATGGACTGGATGGTAACATTTGGCATTGGCGCTGTCTGTGTGATCGAGAGAGATGACGACATGCGTGGGAACGTGCCAAAGCTTCTAAAGCTTGAGCCTGGGAATATAACCATGGCATTGTTACCCCTTTGTTCAATGATGCACAAAATCCTGTTCTTAGTCTCCTCCCAGCTAGGCCTTAAGAGGTCTGCAAAGATATTGCCAGACATTGAGTCGGCGATTGCATTGAGAAGACTGACGAGCTCATCATCTGAGAGAGGGTTCAAGTGACGGTACGCCCAAGGATGTGTGTGCAGAAAGGGGTCAGGTCCGCGCGATGATCGGAACATATCGAGTATGTATAAGTGGTGTTGTGAGAGGTTATACCGTGTGTTGCGAAGAGGACAAGTTGGCTTTGCTCAGGGTTGATAGAGATGCGCTTTGTAATTAACTAGAAAGTGTAGTGTTCGATAGAGAGAGTGTGTGTTCTAGCAAGGGGGTTTATATTCTAAACAGACATTGAATTTAGGGCTTTGGCACAACTCTCGATTGCCAGCATGCTGTATGAACGTGATCCTCAGAACGTGTCGCTATGCAGAATCACGATCATAACTTGACGTAGAGAGTGCGATCATTGTGAAGGAAACATTCCCTGTGCCGGCGTGTCATGATCTGTATGATGAACGAAGATGTCGGATTATCAACAACATACTTGTACTCACCTCACTGAGTGTATCTGTTTCGCGGCAACCTCGACGCATAATCTATCTACTAAACACTGATGTGCGTGTGGACGAGCACATGAGCGATAACATTCTAATCTCGCGATCAACATCAACCATTAGCTGCACTAGCACTAACCAGATAATTATAGAATGTAAAAAATCTGCATTGTTCAATATCATCAGTTATGGAATATGTTCAATAAACTATCATCATCGTCATCATCATCCCCCAGCCTTCAGTCAAGATCATCCTCCGTACCAACTAGCCTTAATAACTATCACTATCACTGTCGTAATCAAAGAACCCTCGCCTTCCAAAGCTTCTAGGGCTTCTCACATACCCGATGCGTGGAGATCGAATCCTCCCAATCACCAAACCCTGCACCGGCGTAGATGTCATAGTCAGTGTGGCAACAGGAGCAGGAATGCTGAGCACCTGAGGTTGTTGTAGTTGCTGGTAAACCACGTTCTGCTGCGGCTGCGGCTGCGGCTGTACTTGCTGGTGGTAGATGACATTCTGCTGTGCTGGCAGTTGCACGGGCGGCTGTTGTACTTGATGGTGGTAGATGACATTCTGCTGTGCGGGCTGTTGCGCGGGCGGCTGTTGTACTTGCTGATGAACAATGACATTTTGCTGAGGCGGCTGCTGAACTTGCATCTGTGTTTGGACTGGCGCTGGCGCTGACATCTGGATGTTGAGACTTCCAGCCCCTCCGCCTTCTCCGAGCATCACCGCGCCGTGCGCCCTAAGATGCTCTTCAATGATGCTAGCCGAACCCCGTAATGCCGCGTTATCCTCATAGAAGGGATCCCTCTGTATGTCGCGATAAATGTTGTTGTGTACCTCAAGAAGCCACTCCAAGCTCTGCTTCTCGATAAATGCCTTTGGCCAAGGGTGGTCGGGCATACACCAACCGCTTCCTCCACGCGCATCCCAGGAAGACATGGTAGGTAATTAGAGCGTATGTGTTATCGATTTGAGGTGGAATTAAAGTGAGTTTCTTCGTCTGGTCAATCTGTCGTTGGCGAAGTAATGTCGGGGCTGGTAGAATAGTGAGAACAGAAGGAGGGAACAGAGTTTTATGCACTTCGTACCGTACAAAATTCACAACCACCACTGAGGGTCCTCAGTACGAAATTGATTCCACGCACGCCTGCTGTGACAAGATACCTCGTTCGCTGGCTGCCGGAATGATCTGGGAAACGTCATAAGGTGTACATGCCAATGATACACAGTTCACAAAATACCAGCGACCATGTTGTCGACCGCAGTAACCAGCAATCAAGCACCTTCAGTCGACAGCTAGCGGAAACGTTGTGCGTTGAACAACGCGCATGTTGCCCGTGTTCCTGTCACGTCAGCGAACCTTCACAGTTTCGCGAATAACATACCTACTCAACCCAATCCCCGCTCTCCCCTGTCCACGCCCCTCGACCATTGTTTCATACCGATCCAAACATCAGGCTCCATACCACCGGCCAGCCTCCATAACATAACAACATAGCATAACAGTACGACACGGACCCATAACACTACCAACCAAGCACAATGTCAACCTCCCTAACCCTCAACGCCTTCACACACCCCCACCCCTGGGCACCCACCACAATAAGGCTCTCGCCCACTCCATCTCTCATCTCTGCCCAAGCCTCGATAACACACCAACTTTACATCCTAGACTGCCGCGGCCACGATGCACGCGATATGCAGCGAACGCTGAACTACGTCACGGCCGAGCTGCGGATGCGAGAGATCGAAGACCTCGCTCTAGCAGAAGCCACTCGCAAGATCGCAAGTGCGGAGGGCAAAGACGGCAACACGGAACCCTGGATCAAGAAAAAGGATGGAGGTGCGCGAATGCGGGAAATGGAAGATGAAGACAAGCGCTGGGAGAAGGAGAGTGGTGGAAACCCGCGGTGGGGTGAGGGTAGGACCGCGCATCTGTACGGCAAGTAAGCGTTCACTTGTCACGGGACCAAGCCCTGATGTAATGATGAACTGGAAACGGATCGAGATCCTGCAATGCGCTATCAAGTAGTAATGTATATGATACATGTTGCGATCCAGTATTGCTTGGGTATCATACCTGTACGCCTGCAAATGCCCAAACTTTCGAGACGCTGTGCCTAATCAATCTTCCGCGTCTCCTCCGCCGCGCTCCATGCGCGCTCTGATGTCTCTCACTAATGCCTTCGCGTCTTCTACCTCTACACCGTCTTGACAGAGCTCGTTCGCTAGCTCCATGGCTCGTTGGTACATGCCGCGCATGTACTCCCATCGAGCGAGCCAGAGTCGGGCTTTGCTGGTCGTCGCAGTGACGCCAACACCACCGGCAGCTTCAGAGCCCACTTCTTCGTAGTCTGGCCCTTCTTCTTGTGCAAGTACTAGCTCCATGTATGCCGCGCATTCGTTCATGTTGTTTATCCTCTCATACAGCAGGGCGATCTGGTAGAGTACTTCTGGATCGAGGATACCTCCGCCGAGACCAGTAACTTCACTGCTCCCGAAAGAGGCTCCGACACCAGCATCATAATAGGAGCCTGCGACTAACGCGCGCTTGTATGATCGAATGCCATTCATGATCTTGCCCACTTTGCCGAAACATTGGCCGACCGCCATCCATAGCTTCGGATCGTAGGGTCGTAGGGCAGCGGCGCGTTGGTGATAGAACAGAGCGTACGAGTGCATCTCTAGCATCTCGTATGTCTGACCAAGTCCATACCAGGCGCGGTAGTCTTTCCGGTTCACGTCGACGGCGCGCCGGTAGGATTCAATAGCGGCGTGGGTGTTCTTCATCTCCACAAACTCGTGGCCCATAAGCGTCCAAGCGGAAAGGAAGGTCCGGTCTAGAGTCAGAGCTCTTCGGAAATACATGACGGCTTTCTCATGCTCCGACTTGAGCGAGTAGTAGTTGCCCACCACGCAACATGTCTCCGGTCGGAATTTGTCAGTCGCTGTGGCGAGCTGTGCCAAGAAGGCAAGCTTGGGTCGCATGCCCATGACATACAGGATGTTGGAGTAATTGTCGAGATGATCGACCCGATGTGGATCTGATACGAGCAAGTCCGAGAAGATCTGTTCGGCATCGTCGAAGTCTTTGTTGTGGTAGTGGAGCAATGCCCGTTGGGTCTTTAGGAAGGCCGATGACGGGAAAATGGTCAGTATTTGCGACAGCGAAGTATGAATCTGTTCGTTGACCACGTAGAGCTCCTGAGATGACGTAACATGGAAGATGAAAGTCATGAGGTTTTGCGGTAGGCGTGTGACGATGCCATTGAGCTCTTCCATGGTGGTCAGTAGAGCTTGTAGCTCCTGCCATGCACCCCAGTTGTAGGTGTATTGGTGCACGCTTTTGATCAGATAGTCGATAGCAAGCTGCTCGTTCTTTCCCTTGGCGAGGACCATGCCGTATAGGTACTCCAGCCAGCCTTGCGGTTGTCGCCCGCTGTTGGGCAGGTCTTTGAACCACTCTTCAAGAACGGCAGATACTGTGGGCAGCTCCTTGTTCAATGTGACACCTCCGTCTTGGGGGCCGAGAATCATCTCGCTATCCTCGTTCATGCGCTTCTCCCCAGCTATGTATTTGGCATAGAGGGCAAGGAACAGCGCCTTCTGACTGATGCCCTTCATTGTATCGTTGGACAGCTTGGACTTGGATGGCGTGACCATCTTCGCCTTCCCCTTGGCGCCTTGCTTCGCCTTTGCTGTAGGCGTAGCAGGTGCCTGTGAGGCGCCCTTGGGTAGAGGGCCAGGCAGGAAGACGGCGGCGCATCGATCATACTCGCGGCAGTCGAAGTATGTCTTGGCGAGGAGGAACTTGTGCGTCTCACGTGCTTCTAGGCGTGCTTCGATGGGGTCTTTGCGTACGAGATTGGGTGTCTGCGGCGGTTGCGCATCCGACATGGGGGAGTCGACGTCGGTGTCCGAGCCTTCATCATCGGCCGATGGGAGCGAATCGAGTAATTCTGCGGCCCTTGTCAATATCAGCATGCAAAAGTCAGTCTACGTAACCATTGGTACTCACCATTTCGCCGAGTGATAGAGACAGCGCTCTGTGCAGCCGATGACGGCGTCCTGGAGCTGGGCCTTGAGTTGGGCCTCGTCGGCCGGCGATAGAGTTCCCATCGCGTCGCTATCAGGAAGAGATTACTATTTGCGCGCTTCAGATCATGGTTCAGGGCTCTATCGCGTGATGTCGCTGCCGCCGATGCGCGTGTTGATGGGGAGCTTCCTGTCGTGGTAGGGTGGGGCACAAACAATGGCCCGGCGAGCGGTTAAAGGTTGCGCCGCTGCGCCGCGGAAATTAGCCCCTTCACCGCCCGCACCCCTACATCTGCTACTGCCCCTCTATCTTGAACACTGCTGTCCAGAGATACCCAATTCACTGCGTTCAAGATGCCCACCACACTCAAAGAATTCGAGAGCGTATGGCCGCGCATTGTGGCCGACCTGCAGGACCACTGCAAATCATACAAGCTGCCCCAGCAGTCTCTTGATTGGTTCACCAAGGTAGATATATCCCGAGCAACGCATCCAGGGTCCAGCTCGCTCACCATATTCCATAGTCACTGGACTACAACACTGTTGGCGGAAAATGCAACCGCGGCATGTCCGTTATCGACACCACTTCAATTCTGCAGAACAAGTCTCTTGACCCATCATCAGAAGAGTACTTCCGTGCTGCCCTGCTCGGATGGATGATCGAACTCCTCCAGGCTTTCTTCCTGGTCTCGGACGATATCATGGACTCTTCAAAGACCCGTCGTGGCAATCCCTGCTGGTACCTTGCACCCAAGGTCGGCATGATCGCCATCAACGATGCCTTTATGCTAGAGTCGGCCATTTACGTGCTTCTCAAGAAGCATTTCCGTCAGGAGAAGAGCTACGTCGACATGATGGAGTTGTTCCACGAGGTCACATTCCAGACCGAATGCGGTCAATTGTGTGATCTGTTGACTGCCCCCGAAGACGATGTCAACCTTGACAACTTCAGTCTCGACAAGTTCACCTTCATTGTCATCTACAAGACTGCCTATTACTCTTTCTACCTCCCAGTCGCACTGGCACTCTACTATGCCGGCGCAGCTACACCAAAGAACCTCCAGACCGCAGAAGACATTCTCATCCCCATGGGCGAATACTTCCAAGCACAAGACGACTACCTCGATGCATTTGCTGACCCCACTGTTCTCGGCAAGATTGGCACCGATATCATGGACAACAAGTGCTCATGGCTGATCAACCAGGCCCTGAAGAAGGTCACGCCCGAGCAACGAAAGGTGCTAGAGGAGAACTACGGTCAGAAGGACTCGCAGAAGGAGGCCAAGGTCAAGGAGCTGTACCATGAGCTTAAGCTGAAGGAGTTCTACGAGCAGTGGGAAGAGGAGCGCGTTACCGAGCTGAGGGCGAAGATCGACAAGGTTGATGAGAGCGAAGGCTTGAAGAAGGTGGTCTTCGAGGTCTTCCTCCAGAAGATCTACAAGAGGAGCAAGTGAGCAGAAGACTAATTATACCATAGGTGGAGAACCACCTCGAGTGTCCACAGAATCTAAACGAACTGTCCGAACTTTCCATGTGACTCGCAACAAATTGTTCGCATCGATCAACTAAAATGCCATTGACACGTATAAAGTAAAATACAACAGCTTGCAGTAAGACACCGTCGCAGATGCCATTGGAGGCGTGAGTGATGAAGGAACTTGCACATACAATGGCATCCACGTGGGCGAATCGCGCTAGGCGCGGGCCGGCCAAAGTGGAGCGAGCCATCCCACCAGCTGTCGCGAGATCCAGTGACGCCGCGTCGCGTCTGCAACCACGAACCTTTTGTCCCATCACCACCAAAACAACAATATGCACGCCTCTTGTTCTCGCGTAGTCACACCCGACAAGCACTATGATCTATGTTTATCTTTGCGCTAAGCGCAATCTGAAAGATGGTGGTACCTGATAATATGGGGGCCAGATTCTGCGACTCAGGCGCCCTGTCAATCAAAGTGGCGTGGTTTACGATGCCCCGTCCTGTGTAAGCGACCCTACTGGAAGTACTCTATCGTCTTCTGGTCTTTGCTACTCCACTGGACCAGCATGTTTTCCAACTTTGCCAGTGCAATATCTGGTAACGCTCCAGAGAGAGCAAGCAAAGATGAAGGGGCTTCGCTCACCTCGGTCCTCGAGACACCCACCCTACGGGTCGAACTGGCACTCCTCGTCCTCCTGAGCATCGATGCCATGCGAAACGACCTCACGGCTACCTTCGAGCCATACGACAACCCCGAACCGAAACCCTCCGTTGCAAACCGGCAGCTCGCACCCAAGACCAGAGCCCAGGCACCAGATCTCATGAGCTTCAACGAGCCGAGACAGACTACGAAACCAGCGCCTCCTACAAGGCAAACATCGCAAGAACATGAGTCCACACAAATGCAGGCTTTGCGACGAAGCGCCTTGACCTTCTTCGACAAATGGCGGGCGAGCGTTATGCATCGCATATGCGACGTCCTCTCTGTTCGGGGTGAGACTGTCCGGCAGGCGAAAGCAAAGCGGAAGCAAATGCTGGACCAAGCCGACAGACAAAATCAGGGCATCTCTTCGCTCATCGATTTCGACGACCTCGATCCCTTCGCGAACGCGGCTCCCAAACGACCCAAGAACACAAGACACGGGCACTATGAGGTGATCGAGACTAGGCTGCTAGCTCTTGAGGAAGATAAGCGTGTGTTGGTTTTACACTGCCTCCTGCTGCTCTTATTGAGTTTGGAGCAATACTCGGCATATTCGCGCATCTTGTTGCTACGTCTGGCAAGCAGTCTTAAACTAGAGGCTGATTTGCTGGGCGAGCATGAGAAGTCGGTTGCACAAGGTCTGCTAGCCACGGCTGCCTCTCAGATGGACGCCGAAGCGACAGCCAAGAACCAAGCGTCAAATGACGCAGTATCTCGCCGTTGGAAGGTTGGTCTCGCGACTGTGGGCGGTGCGGTCCTGATTGGTGTTACTGGTGGTCTTGCTGCGCCTCTACTAGCCGCAGGTCTGGGTACTGTCATGGGCGGACTGGGCCTGGGGGTCGTTTCAACATATCTTGGTGCATTGGCGGGCAGCTCGGTGCTCGTTGGATCGCTGTTCGGAGCCTACGGTGCGAAGATGACCGGGCGTCTAATGGATCAGTATGCGAAAGAAGTTCAAGATTTCGAATTCCTTCCGGTTCACGGTATGTAAAGCGGAGATGAAGTCTTGCTTGAAGCTAAATGTACCAGATCCCGATCGACCTACGAATCAACGCGAGCTCGATTGGGCTGATGAGCAAGATGCGCGTGACCCACAGAAACGTGAACAGCATCGATTACGCGTATCCATTGGTGTTAGCGGCTGGCTAAGCTCCCCTTCCGACGTCAGCAAGCCTTGGGAGGTGGTCGACTCTGCTACAACTGAGCCATTCGCATTGCGTTTCGAGCTTGATGCAATGCTGCGTCTCGGCAACTCCCTCAACGATGTACTCTTCGGATACGCTTTCGATGGCGTCACATACACTGTCGTCAGTCGTACGCTTCTTGGCGCGCTGTACGCGGGTTTGTGGCCTCTTGGTCTTGTCAAAGCTGCCAGTGTCTTGGACAACCCTTTCCTCGTTGCACTTGCACGAGCCGACAAGGCTGGCAAGGTTCTTGCACATGCTCTTATTGATGGAGTGCAAGGGAAGCGACCTGTCACACTTACAGGTTACTCAGTGGGTGCACGTGTCGTGTACGCATGTCTGATCGAGCTTGCGGAACAACACGCGTTCGGTCTTGTCGAGTCTGCTGTTCTTATGGGCACTCCTGCCCCTGCCAATAGCAAGCGTTGGAGGCAAATACGGTCAGTTGTTGCGGGACGCGTTGTCAATGTTCACAGTACGGAAGATTATGTACTCGGCTTCCTCTATCGATCTGCCAAGCTTCAGGTAGGTGTCGCTGGTCTACAAAAGATCGAAAATGTTCATGGCGTCGAGAATTTCGATGTAAGCAAGCTTGTCAGTGGCCACGACCAATATCGATACTTGGTCGGTACTATACTGGTTAAAGTCGCACTTGGTGATATAGACTTCAACAAGGTAGCTGAGCAAGAACGCGCTCTCGAAGAGGCGGAAAGGCGAAAGAAACAGGCTCAAAAAGAGGCAAAACGCAAGGCAACGACTGAGCAAGCAAAGGAGCCTGTTGCCAGGCCTCAGCCCCGAAGTCGACCGGTTGCTGCGGCTCACGACTCTTCGAACTCTCTGATAGATCTTACAGAGCCAGAGCCGACCAAAGCTTCAGCCTCCAACAGCGATCTATCTGGTCTTTCCTTCACCTCCACCGGTGTATCCGCGACTGAGCTTCCCCCTTCGAACGTCAAATCATCCACCCCGGCTCTGCATAAAACACCTATGGAAGAATCCAAGAGCTTTCCTGATACCACTACGAGATCGTTCCCAGAACCACACGATCTATCAAGCCCCGAGAACTCGGCTGTCCGGCTGCAGAAGAAGGGGACCGAAGTCGCTGTTACCGAGGTTCTTGTCTTAGAAGGCAGCGATGCTGCTAAGGACAAGAGTATTGACAACGAGCATGATGATGAGTTTGACGACTTCGACTATGACGCCGAAGAAGTTAGTAGCGAGTTTGGAGAACTCAGCATGGTAGAGCCGCTGCCTATGGACGACTTCGATTATGAGTTGATGTAAGGGCGCATGGACCAATCACATCTTCCTGATAGCTCGCAAGGTCCACCCAACCTGACTAGTGGTTGTTAGATGGTACGCCCCGATTATGCACGTTCCTTGTATGACGGCTTACATGTAAGGCACCAGCTTGGCTTTCAAGTAACCAAGACATTCTCCTCATGCCTCGGATGATAAGCTGGATTAGTGAACGCGTTACGCGCGTAACGGTATAAAGTCATATGTATTCAATCAAGTTCAGGAAAATCCTTATATATCCCAGTTTGAATCGATCAGTAGAAGCAGGCACTGCGACGGAAACACCAACCGTCTTGCTAAATTCAGCCCATCCATCATGCTATTAGCAACACATTCTCCACCCACATCACCGTCCTCATCCTTCTCTAAACTCGGACCGCGGATATCTCTCTATACCCCACCATCACACGCCACCGGCGAACTCATCGTCCTATGTACATGGCTTGGCGCAGCCCGAAAGCACATCGACAAATACATTGCAGTCTACCTTACCATCGCTCCCAATGCCAAAATCCTACTCATCCAAAGCGACGTAACATCTGTCACAAGCTCCTACCCAGCACAAAACAAAGCCATCATACCAGCCGTCGAAGCCGTGCGCTCTGTACTGAGTGACTGCACTTACACACCATCTACCAACGTCCCTTCATCTCCAACTGCAAACGCCACCAAAACGCACACAACCCCCAAGATCCTCTTCCACACCTTCTCAAACGGCGGCCCCATCTCCGCCACAGCCCTCCTCCTCGCTCTCCATGCCCAGAAGTCCACACCCTTACCCATCACCGGTATCATCATGGACTCTGGACCCGCAGCAGGATACTACTGGAAATCATACAACGCTATGATTCTCTCCTTGCCTCCAGGCCCAATACGCTCAGCAGGCTACGTCTTCGTTCACGGTATCCTGATCATCTTGCGGGCGAGTGTGGCGTTGGGACGGTACGAGCACCCTGAGGTACTGGTTCGTCGGACGCTGTTGGATGAGAAGTTTGTTTCTGGGGCGGAGAAGGGGAAGAAGAGGAGGGTGTGTTATTTGTACAGTAAGGCTGATCGGATGACGGATTGGGAGGATGTTGTTGCGCATAAGGAGATGGCGAGGGAGATGGGTTGGGATGTGGGAGAGGTGGTGTTTGAGGGGACGCCTCATTGTGGGCATTTTGTGGGTAATGAGGGTGTTTATGTTGGGCAGATGGACAAGATGTGGGAGGGTAAGACGTTTGGACAGTAAGAGTTTGTCTGATTTCATGATTGTTTGGAGGGACAAGTCGCTATAAGAAAGATCTGTTGCTGGCTTGGCGCTCATTGTCTTGTTGATTATGACTCTGGTACTTCGTCGGCCCATGGTATACTCGACTGTGCTCCCGCTTTCTGCACTGTCATTGATGCCGCTCTGTTGGCATGCGCAATTGCAGCATCGAGGCCGAAGTCTGCTCCCTTTGACATTGCTTTCCAGCGCGCAACGGCAACTGTGTAGGCTCCCGCAAACGTGTCACCTGCGGCTGTTGTGTCGACAACCTTGACTTTTCGTGCCGGCACAATATGACCTTGCTGAGATGTCTCTTGCTGCTTCGCAGTCTTGTAAAACACGCCCTGAACACCCGAGTAAGTACAAGTCAGATCGCAAATCGAGTGATTGCTTACCTCGCCACCAAGCGTAATAATAACGTTCTTAACCCCTCTCGCGATAAATACAGCAGCAACCTCATCCCATGAAGTCGGCTTCTCAATCCCCGATAAAATCATCGCTTCCGTCTCATTAACGATAAGATGACCCAGTCCATGGTACGCTTCATCCGGCAACGGCACCGCAGGCGCAGGATTAATAATAGTCTCAACGCCCTTCTCCCTCGCCGTCTTCATATTATGCAGCACAACCTGCAAGGGCAATTCCAACTGGAAAAGCGCAACCCCCGCATCCTCATCCACAAGATCCTGCACCTCAACATCTCCGTTCGCCCCAGGACAAAACATAATCCTGTTTTCTCCGGAACCCGTCTCGACGATAATGACCGCAACACCCGTCTTCTTCCCCTTGAGAATCTGCACCTTCTCCGTCGACAATCCATCTTCTCGTAGAGCTTTCAAGAACCCCTCGTGAAACTCGTCGTCACCCACTGCACCCACCATCCTAACTTCGACATCGGAGTCCTGAGACGAAGAAGCTTGCGCTTTGGTGCGAGAGAGACGCGCACATGCGACGGCTTGGTTTGCGCCTTTCCCGCCCCAGCCAATGTTGAAGGATTCACTGGTCAGCGTTTCGCCGCCGACGGGGACGCGAGCTGTACGCGTTACGAGGTCGACATTTAGGGAGCCGATGACGGATATGACGGCTGGTTTGGAAGACATTTTGGATGCTGGGTATGGGAATGTGGAGTTTGGTGAGGGTAGGGTGTTGTATAGGATATGCAATGAGGCTCTGGGAGGTTAGCCGAAGACGCTATCTGGATTAGGCTAGCCGAGCCGACGATTGACGTAGGGGAGACGGCGTGCTTGGGGTGAAATATCTTGTATTGGACTGATCGGATTGCAACTTTTGAAAAAGCAATTGAGAACTGGTTTATCAATACATTCGTTTCGCAGTGTTTCATCACCTGATTCTACAAGTTATCCAACCCTCCCCCGGGCCAACATCATCTTCACAACCTCTTTTCCCGCCGCATCAACACAACATCACCGACACGACAATCATCCCTCGAAATGCCTTTCAATCTGATCCTAGACCTACTTCCCGAGGATTTTGACCACCTCCATATATCGCCAGATCGCTGGCAAGATCAAGAAACCACAATAACCCTCATCACGAAGCGAATCCAACGAGAAGAAAAGGCTCCTTTCGATCGGCACAGAGAGCCCCTCCACGTCTCTCTCTGCATCAACAATCCCCAAACCTTAGCAGAGCTAGGCGAGCAGCTCTCCAACTTACCACCCAGGACCCGTACCCTCACCCTCACGCTGCCCGAAAACCCGCCTGGCGCGAAGCTTGCCATGTCAGATGTCTCCTTGCCGGTCAAATACATCACACACCTACGCATCAAAATCCTCCCTGACGACTTTCCCGAGTATGAGCCCACGCCAGAAGACTGGAATGAGCTTGCTCAGGCGTGGGGGGATGCATTTTTTTGCATGCCAGGGCGACATCACATCGAGAATGTTCTGTTGGACCTACGCGGCATAGACCCTTTCGTGATACCAGACATCGTTCCCCTTCTAGTAGAGGTGACGACGGAGTTGTACACGAGAACGAAAGAAGAGAGTGGAAGGGAGTTGGTTTTTGGGATTGTGGGTGCGGAGAGGCAGAGGAAGTGGATAGAGGGGCAGTTGCCGGGAAAGTCGGAGGATGACTTGTTTGACGAGGAGTTGGCTGCTGCGCGAAGACAGCGTGGTAGGACGTAGATTTGAGTGGTATGTGGGGTTTCTATTGGGAGGCTTGATGTATGGTTGAGTATGTGTGAAGCTTATGTGACTTGTCGTTAGTTTCAGTCTTCGTAGATCATCCGCATCGTCCTCGCTCGCGATTTGTTACACCCACGCTCCGTGCTCGTCACGTCTTGGAGAAGGTCGTGTTAGCTGATAGAAACATTGCAACATTGATATTCGTGTCCAAACGGCGAGACCGTCACCCTACAATCCTCTAATTCAACCAACTCATCAACTCGACATGTGACGAACTTTTCGCAATCCGCCTCAAGTCGCATTGCGCATCTAAATACCACTTTCCACAGGGATATTGACTCCCAAGTTCCGCAACTTATCCGTAGCAGCCTCAACCAGCATGCTATTCCGCTGTATGAGCTCCTGCACCTGTTCGTTCTCTGCTTTCCTCGAGTAGCTTGGTACTTTGACACCGGTACCTCTCGCTTGCTCGTGTTCGCCTGCTTGCTTGGCATTCCTCATAGCTGCTTCGATCTGTTGCGCTTGCTCCTTCTGTACCTCCTTGAGCCTGTTGAGACGCTGCCAGGCCGGACGTTCGCTGCCATCAACAGTGTCGGTCAAGGTTTCGCTCGCAGGGTCAATGGCGCTGTCCATAGTTTGCAACTCTTCGATCCAGTTGCTTTCCTTCTCGCTTAGTTCGCTGGAGCCGATGCTGACCATCTTTCGTCGAAGAGCTTCGTAACGCGCGTTGATCTGATCTTGTCGCGCGGTAACCTTCTCCAAACGCTCGTCGATATTGGCGCTGCCGTATGTTGATCCGTTGTCTGAATCGACTTGGTCGTTGCCGGTGACACTGTCGATGTTTGCTGCGATCCCGGACGTCCGGTAGATTTGATCCCTAAACTCTTCCTGGAGACGTGTCGCGCGGTTGAACAGATCGGATACAGCGAGTTGGAGTTTGGAAGTCTGTGCAGAGAGTACGCGATGAACATCCATAAGAAGCCCCAGGTTCGCAGGAGATAGCCTAATCTCATCCTTGAGAGCACCTCTATGCCGTGCGGGGATGTTGATAGAATTGTAAAGATCGAACGGCTCGTAGAGTTCTTTTGGTGGTTGCCAAGCTTGACGCACTTCCTTGTTAGGGCCAGTGATTGCCATGTATTCGGCAATTTCCTCTTGGGTAGGGAGTCCTTCTTCAGGTGCATCGAGAAGAGCAGCTTGGGGTTCACCGTCAACTGTAGTGAGAAGAAGGTAACCGACGTTCCCGTCTTCAATAACGGCGACTGCGGTGACTTCTTGCTCGTCCACGTCCCCAGAGACGCGTCGCTGTAGGTACTGGTCCACGGAGGTGTTTGCCGATTCCAACACGCGCTTGATACGGAAAGGTGAGCCTTCGGTCTGTGGCTGGGATAGCTCGGTCTCCAGCTTCCTGACCCAGGGCTCCATCGAGACGTAGAAGACCCCACTGGCGTGTGATACGAAGAATGAGAAGTCGGTGTGCACATCTGGCGTGATGCTCTGGTTGAACGAGGGTTCATCGCTTTCCACCAGTGTAATTGTTTCCGCAATGATGAGCTCGTGTTCGGTTGGTTCTGTGGTGTCAATCTCGTCTTCTGGTGATGGCAGCCATCGCCCAACGATGCCCTCAAGGTCCAAGCAGACATGCACCTTGCTCGTTTCGGTGAGCAAGCACACAACAGCGGTCGGCAGACCCTCTGCAGCCTCCTCTTCTTCGCTCTCGGAGAGGGTCTTCAGGGAGAAAACAATCATGTCGCTAAGCTCAAAATCATCGACTTCAGGCGAGATAGTGAAAGGTCCCTGTAGTAACGGCACCGCAGGCGCGCTGTGTGGACGAGCGAAGACCTGAACTGTGTCACCCTGCGCCCGCTCCTCTGCGAGAGGCTCCTCGTATAAGATGTCCGACAGCCATGAGACCTGCTTCTCTGATGTTTTCAGTTCGTCTTTGGGCGATGTCTCGTCTTCTGAGAGCTCGGCGTAGTTGATGTTGATGGAGGAGGTAAGGGTTTGGAGGAATGTGTGGCTGCCGGGCGACTCGACCAACTGCCACTTGCTCGGTAGCAGAGGACAGAGTGCGTATACGTCTCCAAGTACCGTCGCGATCCACAGTGTCATCGGCGCCCAGCCATGGACACCTTCTTGGTCTGGGAAGTCGCCAAAGCATGCCGATGCAACTTCCAGCTCGACTGAGTCGGGAGAGAAGCCCTTGGAAGCTCCGAATTTGGAGGCGCTCAAATCGTCCTGGTCGCTGGTAGCGTTTGCGAGTTTGGGCAGATCGATGGAGAGCGATGGTTCACTGAAGGTAGACCTGTCGGCGCGGTTGATCTCCCACAGCCTGACTACGCCCGCCTTTGTGATGGTGACTAGGCAGCGTCCATGATAGCCCAATGGATGCCATAGTGTTGTTGCGACGGGCGACTCTTCGAGAACGTGTACAGTCGGTCCCAACTGGAAGGCCTTTGGCTTCAACGGACCGTCGTCCTCTCCAGCTCCGAGCAGCGACGAGTCGGGAAGGTGTATTACGTGTACCGTATGCGAGGTGGAGACGGCGAGGTAGTCTTCTTCGGGCGAAATGACGAGACGCGTGATCGGGAGTGGTATCGAGACTCGGAGTGTTCGGTACGCGGGCTGTTGCTCTTCCTTGAGGTTGACCA